CAGACACCGGTTCCAATCCTCGAAGGAAACGCAGAAGGTCACAGAGTTTCACGACGCTTCTACCTTCAAACACGGCGCCCAGACAATCACCCAACAACGCTCCGGCCAAGCAACCCCGGAACCGGGCGGCTCCCGGCCGAGCTCGCCCCGCTCCCCGCCCCGGGCCTGAGCCCGACCCCGCGCCCGCCGCCGCCATTTTCTCCCCAAGCCACCGTCTCGCTCCTCGGGGTAAATCCACGGACACCGCCCCCTGGCGGCCCGGAGGAGCGCGATGGCGGCGCAGCCGGGAACCTGTTGTCGCCTCATTTCTCTATTTACAGCAAGAGAAATTGTTGTGTGGGGGGTTTTTTTGGGTATTTTTTCCCCTAAATTTCTCATTATTACAATATAATCCGTCAAATCCAAGCTGTTTCCCACCGGGAAGGTTACTGAGCATCATCTCCCACCTCGGGGAAGAGCAACCAGCCAGGTTCTCGGTCGCGTTGCACGTGCGATGATGGGGTTTTGTAAGGACGGCGTCTCCCGGGGTGAGCGAGGCTGGAATAGAAACAATCAACTCGCAGCAGAACACAAATGCATTTTAAAACAAGTGCATTGCCAAAAAGAAAAAGAAAGGACTCCACCTCTTGCTTTTGTAGCTGCGTTCGTTCCGCAGGAGCCAAGAGGCGAGGGGAAATCCCAACCCAAACTTGACTTTAATCATGAAAACGAGCAGATTTGAGTCAATAACCCCACAGAGCAGATCTGGCCTCCTGCCACCCTTACACAGGCCCTTTTCAGAGCCTCGCCTTGCGCTTTAAAGGACTTTAAAAAACCCCAACAACCCCACCAAAGAGCCCAGATGGATTCAATCACGGCGAGAAACGCTTCCAACGCTGTCGGATGACAACTGCTCTTGGGGGACAGACTCTTTATTGTTTATAACGCTCCTTGGAGTGTGAGAGGCTATAAACATCATACGAGGGGGACAGACAGTTATATAACAAACTAGAAGGAGGGAGGAGAATTACATTATCCTAACAGGACACAGATGTCTGCTTTTCCTCGCTACGGAACTGAGTCACTGGTCGCTTTCTCCTCGGTGCAGCTCGTTGCACAACGCTCCTCGGTGCACGAAGCCAACTCCAGCGGCCCGTTCTGCAGCGGGGAGAGCTCACGCTTCACAGTTTCGTTGAAAGTATCGACCTCTGACATAAATTCCTTGGCAGGGACCAGGAGCTTTCTCCGGCTGTCCATGCACTTGTTGTCCAGCAGCAAGGAACGGGCTTTGTAGCCAATATCTGTCTGAATGCGGTGAAGTTGTCTGTAAAGAGTATCCAAGGCAGCCCTGGGAACAAGGAGAAGTCAGAGGAGTTGGGTTCAAGCACTGCATTCACTTCCCAAGTTGGACAGGAAACACTCAACTTCCCACTTTCTGGCAGCAGAAGGATCTGTGCAGCCTTTGCCTTCGTACGAAGAACAAATGCATCAGACATTTCCTGGTGCAGAGCAGCAGCATTGTCCGGGGCTGTGAACAGCCAGCCCACAGGCTGCTCCTGCAGAGATGTGCACCCCAGGAGCCCACCCCAGCCCAGAGCACCACTTCTGCTGCTTCCTTTACTTTTCACCCATCTTTCCCCCCCCCCTTTAGAACTGTTTGTGCCTGGTTGAAGTCAGAGTCAAGCAGGGATCGTGGGAAGCCCTATTCACCCTCCCACCACACTGACCTCTCGTGCCTTGCCTGCGCCCTGCTGCCCAGGCCAGCTCCCCACCAAGCCCAAAGGCTATTTCCACTCCTGATGGGAGCAGACACGACCTCCAAGATGCAGCTTCTGAGAGCGTGCCAGGCCCAAGGCTGCACACATGGGCAATGCTGGGCCACTGCTCTGTGCCAGAGAGCAGGAGACTTACTGAGACTCTGCTAGCTTCTGTTTGAGCACACGGATCGTTCCCTCCAGCTGATGGACCTCGTATGTCAGCCCGTACTGGACCTGCCAGGTGGGGAGGGAGAAGGGCACAGCAGTTAGCAGATATAAGGTGCTGTTTTACTGAGGGCACGGTTCTCTTGTTCCCTTTCCAGCCCAGCTATGACATTTATTTCCTTGTTTTGCTCTTTGACTGTGGGATCCACAGCTCAGCCCCTCTGTAGTTTTCTCCAAAGTGCATCCACATTCTTCAGACCCCCACAAGTCCCCAGTCCTGGTCAGTTCCCCCCCGTCCCTCCTGGCAGGGAATGCACCAGGCCAGGCTGGTACCTGATCCCGACAGCGCTCCATGTTGGGCCGACACGTACGGATCTCCAGGCGGGTGTGTGCTACTTTCAGATCTTGCATTTTCCTTCGAATATCTTCACCCAAGTGTCGGATGTTCTCCTCCATCTCAGCAATTTCCTCCAAGGTCTAAAGACACATATCATGAGGGACAGCCAGGGGATACAGACTGGAAAACAGCCCCTGTGCATCCTGGGCTTTTACTGTGCTGGGAATGGATTTTAAACAAGGGCTGGTGGGCGAGTGGTGAACCCTTCTGCCCATAGATCAGGCTTTTCACACAAACCAGGCAAGGTGCTGCTGGTGTTTTATGGCCACAGTGGTTGAGACCAAGGGTGAAATAAAAAAGCCAAAACCTGTCACTGCTGCTGGGAAATGCCAGAGCAGCAACTGTGACAGCAGAAGGAGACAGGATGTTGCAGGGATCATATATGTGCCACTTAACAGCTCTCACGTGGAAACTACACACAGGCTAAGTAGCTTTCTACATAACAAAGAGCCTTTTGGATTCAATTCCCACCCAAGGTTGTGGTCAATAACCAAAGCAGCAACACTTACATTCTGCTCCTGCCATTTCAGCTCATCATAGGCTTTTTCCATATCTCTAATCCTCTTGCGTAAGGCAAACTCTGTGGCTACACGCTGAGCCTCCAGCTCGTTGTTTGTCTGAAGAGAGAACAGGCTCCAGTCACACACATCTCGAAGGTGTCTCCCTCCCAGCTGCTGCCTGTGCAGCTGGAACAAGCCTATGAGCAGAAGCAGCTGGGTTCTGGCAGCTGCCCTGTGTGTGCAGAGCAAGCACCCCCCTGTAGCCAAAGGCAGGGAACGATGGACACACACGTGTCTTTCAGGTTGCTGAGATTCTTGCAAACTCCCCTTTTAAACCAGGAGGTTTAAAGCACACCAGTTGTGCTCAGAGAGGCCCGTGGGCCAGTGCTCTTTTCTAAGCCTCCCTTCCCCTGGCCACAGCACACGTCAGCACATCCTTCTGCACTGGATCCAGAACTTCTGCACCATCGATCGCCAGCCCAAGGACTGATTTACCTGTGCAATGGTAAGCATTGTTGCTTCTCGGAGCACAGTTGAGGCTTTGATTTCTGCCTCAGCAAGCTCCTTGTTGCCTTGGCTATTCTGTTCCCACTCATCAAGTGTAGTTGACCTGTGAACAAATGAGCAGTTATGAAAATAAGTTGAGTGTTTGCAAGATAGTTCAAAAGGAACCACCTGCTGCAAGCCAAGAAGGCTTTGTGCAGTGCAGAATAATTCAGGGATTCTGGAGGTCACATCCTGTCTGATCTCCTCACTGCACCAGCTGGAGATTGCTACCCCATGGCTCCTGTGCCGAGCCCAACATCTGCTCAAACTGGGGACACATCCAAACCATGCAATGAAATGCCAGCAAGTGCAAATGTGCAGCAGCTGCCCCGTGAGCTGTGCCAAAGGCCAATATCACACTGTCACCTACAGCCAAGCACCTGGGAGGCAGGGCAGCGAGCTGCTGGTTTTGTGATGACAATTCACATAACACCCCAAAGTCTGCAGCTTCACAATTCAAGCACCACAACAAATCCCAGCAGCCAACTCCTGTTCTGAGCTCTCTCCAAAACTGCACCCATCAAGCCAGGATACAGCATGGAAGTAAAAAAGATCCCAGGGCTCTTTCAAGCACCAGCATGGATTTGGCCACACAAGGGCAGGCTCTTTCCTTACCTGTCTGGGACGCGTGTTGGATTGACCTTGAAGGAGATGATGGGAGAGTTCATGTTGAGGGATAAGCACATGTGATCTAACTCCAAGGCTTCCACCTTGCACCGCTGGTCATAGCTCAGCTGCTGGTGAGCTTCCTGTAAGAGGCTGCAGAAAACGGGGTTGGAGTAAGCAGGGAGCACGCAGAGGGGAGAAGCAGCTCACCCTCACCATTTCCAGAGCTTTTATCACCACCTCAGTCAGCTTTTTAAAATGAGCAATGAGCTCCTGCTCTCCCAGTGAACTGGGCCCATTGGTAAAGCAGTACACCAGCTTTACTGCCTGCCTGGCTCCCCTGTGCTCTGCTCCAGCATTGCACTGGGTGACTGAGCTACCTGCCCTCCTGCTGTGGGGCACTGAACCACGAGGCATTAGGTCCTGGGAGCTGTAACTCTTCCAGGTGACTCATTCATGAACCAAGGCAGGTAGCACCAGATATCTGACTGGGCCAAAATTTTCCAAGGATGCTTATGACATCTCCCCTGACACACTCTCCCCTACAAACCCCCAAACTCCATGGACCTTGAAAACAACCATCAAAGTGGCCTGTTGCCCCAGCGCAGTCACGCTCAGCTTGCTTGCCCATCTCAGCTGTGGCATTAGAGTCAGCTAAGCCCCTGGGGCCAGGCAAGGGGGGCAGAGTCTGGTCTAAGCTGTGTCATTCGCCTCACCAGAGCTGTTCAAAGGCTTCGTTCACTCTCTGCTGCAGTTCTCTCTTGGCTTTGTTGATCAGCTTCACCTCTTTGTGCAGCTCCTCCTCCACAGCATCCCTCACTACATCGATGGCGCGGCGGCCCTCACGGAGCGTCAGGCACTCAATGGAAATGTCCAAAGACAAGTTCTTTGCCTGGAGGGCACGTTCTGCTGCTTCCTTCACCTGGAGGAAAAAGCCAGCTAGGTGTGTGTGGGGGGGTCTCCTTCAGGGATGGGAGGAAGAAAGGAAGGAGAACCCAACAAACCCTTGTTAAAAAGACAACAAAAACACCCCAAACCCCAAACGTGAGCATGCAATGCACAGCTCCATAAAATGGCTTGGCTCAGCCAAGACACAGCAGCTTGCTTTCCAGGAATTCATTGCATCAGGTTTGGATCTCAGTATACCTGTGATAAACCCCTCCTTGAACTCCATACGGGCTTGCCCATTGCAGAAGACAAACCTCAATTATTTAACATCCCATACTGACAGTGGAAGTTGATTTCCAGCCATCTGTGTTCCCAACATACTTTGGCTAAGGCATCAATTTCCTCATCTATGTCTGCAAGGCATTTGTCCAGGGTCTCTTTCCATCTGTTCAGGCTGCTGATGCGTTCAGTCAGGCGGGTTTGGTTGTCATGCTCATCCCATTTCGTCTGGAATTAGAGGAGAAATGCCATTACGCTTTTTTAAGTTGCAATTGTGAATCTTGCTGAAGCCTTTCCCTGTTTTCAGGATTGACTGACCCCTGGCAGGAGGACAACACGTTGCCATTTGCTCTAATGGACATCTACACAAAAGGAGAGCACAGAAAACACTCCAGGTTGCAAAGGATGCGAGAGTCACACCCAGGGATTTCACGAGAGTTAACACACACATCATTGCAAGTGGGTTTATAGCAAGTAAATGTACTTATTTAGCAGGTTCTGTAGAGGTAAAACCTTCTCCTGTTCCCTCATCCATGCACCCAGATCTAGACGCTTCTCCCATACTCCTCAGCTCGCTATTCTGACAAACCTGGGAGCAGCCAAGCTGCCAAAGGCCCACCTGGTTGTTGGTTTCGTTGCGGAGAGTTTGGGCTTCCTGCCGGACTTGGTGGGAAGCAGAACGCTGGCGTTCAGCATCAGCCGAGATGAGACGGGAGTTGGTGTGCCAGTCTGGCAAGGTGAACCGCTGGCCTGGTTTGACACTCTGCGTGGCCATCTCACTAAAAAGGTGACTAAAAAGGAGCGGAAGGTTTTTAAGATTTATTCATGGAAATACACCAGAAATGGAGATGCATCCACAAACTGGAAAGCTCTTCGGGAGAAAAGCAGCAGCAAGCTGTAACCTGGCATCTCACCTAATGCAGACACACACGTCCACACAACCAGGGGAGCACTGGGAGGGGTGACTGGAGCTGTCCTCTGCCCCTGCGCCTGGAGGAAAGCCCTGTCCACCTGGCTCTCCCCAGAGAACGGTGCTATTTGCAGAGAGACAAGGAGCTGCTCACAGCACCATCTCCCACATGGGATTTATTGAGCCTGGCCAAAGCAGCTGATAGCATTACTGATTCTGTTTTAGTCACAGCTCCATAGGCTCAGCCCAGAGCTGCAGCCCCAGGGCACTCAAAGCCTTTGCAGGGACAGCACAGTTTGCAGCCACATTCCTGGCTCCCCAGCACCTCCCTGGCAAAACTGACAGGAATGGCAGAGATCGCTCAGCAGGATCAGAACAGGCTACAGATCCCCCCAAAACCCCACAGTCGGGTGGAGCCCTAGGGCAGAGAGTCCCCCCGGCTCCAGCACAGCCTG